TAGATATAGCAGTGCATTTTTCCTAGTAGGGGCATCCACCAATTGGGACTTGAAGTTGTCTTGTAAGACATTTAAGAAATGAGGAGCCTTTTTAACCGCTTGCCGACCCGCCGCAGTGTTTTTACTGTGGCAGGGCGGCACCTGTCTTTTAACGGCGCTCTGCAAAACAGGTAGGGGGCACGCGCGAGGCAAGTGCCCGTCCCCCAGATTGGGACAGCGGGAGTCCATCATCGGATCCCAGCGGGTCATTAGCCGCCGGGTGCCGGCGATTACTGGTAATCACTGACAGATAGCACGGCTGCAGTGTTTACATTGCAGATTTGCTATCTGTCAGTTCAGAGCACGCTGAACCTGAGAGAAGACTTTATCTCTCGGGATCAGTGTGTTCCTGTGAAGTACACCCCCCCCCCACCCACTAGTAAAACACTCCCCTCAAACAGTTAACCCTTTCATTTAATAAAAAAGTTAACCCCTTCCTCCCCAGTGCCATTAGTACAGTGTCAGTGTTTTTTTTTTTTTTTGCACTGCTCACTGTATTGGTGTCACTGGGGATGTCAGTGACGCCAAGTCAGTTCCCCCCCAGTGTCAAAATGTCCGCCGCAGTCCCGCCATAAGTCGCTGATCACCGCCATTATTAGTATAATAGAAAAAATCCCAGTATCTTTCCCGCTATTTGTAGATGCTATAACTTTCACGTAAACCAATTCATTTACACGTATTGGGATTTTTTTTTTAAGCAAAGACATGTCGCAGAATAGATTTTGGCAGAAATTTATGACTAAATTTGATTAAATTTTTTTTCTGGACATGTTTTATAGCAAAAAGTCCAAAATATTATTTTTATTTTGAGTTTACTATATATTTTTTATAGCTGAAAGTAAAAAATATGGTTTTTCTTCAAAATTTTTGGTCTTTTTTTGTTTATAGCATGAAAAATAAAAAGCGCACAGGTGATCAAATACCGCCGAAAGAAAGTTCTATTTGTGTGGAAAAAAAGGATGTAAATTTCGTTTGGGTGCAGCATTGCATGACTGCACAATAATCAGTTGAATTAGTGCAGCGCCGAGTAGCAAAAAGAGGCTTGGTCAGGAAGGGGGGGGGGGGGTAAATCCTCAGGAGGGCAAGTTGTTAATGATTGAGCTGTTCCCACTGGCCAGTCAATATCTGGATAGTTGAAGTCCCTCATTATGAGGACATTGCCTTGCCTTGCTGCCATTTCTAGCTGTGATGTCCAACTCCTCCTCATCCTTTAATAGTGGGGGTATGTTACATGCCCCCAAATCTAATTTCCCACTTGCTTCTTCCCTTTGAAGTCCCACTCATATGGATTTTGCTTTTGCTATTGGTAATGGACTGAGAAGTCAGCCCAGTTCTCCAAGAACCCAAAACCCTCTGATGACACAACCCGGTGCCTGACTCCTGCCCTTCTCACCAACTCATGACAAAGGACCAGCCTATCTCACACCGTGCTGTCACTTGCGTAACAATGCCACTCTCAGCTGCACCCTGCACAAAGATTTTCCAGCTCACAGGACCACAGTCATGTGCCAGCAGCCTGAGAGCGACTGTCACTGGGTTAGGTTAATTATGCAATTAGCCCTTTAAACTGCCACCACTGCCTTTTTACAGAGAAGGAGGAAACGCACAAATCCTAGCAATAACACTATGATGCTAGCATAAACGTCTAACATACACTGTCACCACAGACAGGTCTATTCAGAGGATTATTATATACAGTAGCTCTCTTCAAGAGACAGGGATTCTTTAGTTTGCATTAAAAGCTTTAGAGACAGTTTCAACACTTTTCAAAATAGGGTCTATTACTGAAAAGGTCAAAATGGTGCAATTAAAATATTCACAGAAAAAAAAATGTTACAAAGACATAAAGAGAACAGCAACAGAGAAATAAAAGAAAGGAGCTAAGAAGGCAGAATACTTGTAGAGTCCAATTATCCGAGCAAAAATGTTGCCTTGACACTCAAGTCCATTGACCGCTTCCTGTCCGGACACTTTTACCCCCTTCCTGTCCAGGGCAATTTTCAGCTTTCAGCACTATCACACTTTGAATGACAATTGCGCGGTCATGCAACACTGTACCCATATGAATTTTTTACCATTTTTTTTAGAAAGATAAAGCTTTATTTTGATGGCATTTATTCACCGCTGGGATTTTTATTTTTTTTGCTATGTAAATGAAAAAGTCCAAAAAATTTGAAAAAAAAGTGTTTTTCTTATAAAATTTTGCTAATACATAATCTTTCATCATAAATCTTGGCCAAAAATGTATTCCATTATCTTTTTAGTAAAAAGAAAAATAAGCCAAATTAGTTTATAACCAAAAATTATAATTTTTAAACTTTTTTACATTTTTATATTATTATTATTTTTTTTTAATTACATATGGTAACCCTAGCAGTACAGTGTCACCATGGTGACACTGTACTACTTGTGGGGGGGTGATGAAGATTTTTTTTTTTTTTTTTTTTACAGTGATTGCTTTTACACCCATATAGGATGTAAAATCAATCATTTCTCTTTCTCTCTGTCTGCATTCTTGCAGCCACTGAGAACTACTGAGTGAGCTGTGATTGGTCACAGCTTGTCACATGGTACAAGGCTGTTGTGAATAGCCTTGCACCATGTGACCTCTGTGATCATTCACAGATTTCACACGTAGTAAGCAATGATGTCACAAATGACATCTTGCTTACTACTTTGCATGTAATCACTGATTGGCCAATCAGTGATCACATGATCGGGACCTCGTACAGAGGTCCCGTCTGATGATCAGTGTTTCACTGTGTCCGGAGGACACAGCGGGCATCGGATCGCAGTGCTGCGCGCTCCCAGGGAGCATGCACAGCTAGAAATGGCGGGTGCCGTTTATGAACGGCAACCCGCCCCTGGAGTGCCACCGCCCTGCCGTTTATAAACAGCAGGCGGACGGCAAGTGGTTAAGATGTTTCTTGGTTGATATTAAACGAGAGCTCACTTACTAGATCCAGTCACTCTCTTTTCTGTTATATGAAAGGGGTGTCGCCTGAAAACAAATGACCAATCATCTGGTTTAGGGGATGGGTGCTAGGAGGTCACTAAATGTATGACCCAACTACAGATTCATACTAATATTACAACCTCCAATACATGCAGGTGGTATTCTGGCAATTGGCAGATTATTATTCAGAATTGTATTTCAAACCCAAGGACAGGGACGGACTGACAACTCATGGGGCCCCTGGGCAATAGGGGATAATGGGGCCCCTGTGTCCTCACCCACACTCAAACCACACCCAAAAAAAAAAACCTATGGAAGGTACATGGGCATCTCATGGGGCCCCTTACTGACCCTGGGCATTCGGGCAGTGACAGAGTGCCCGAATGGTCAGTCCACCCCTGCCCAGGGATACCAAACACAGTGTACTTTTGTCACCCAGGAGGGATTGCTTTCTCCCATTTCCTATGTGCTAACATAGTCATGCATGACCTTGATTTGTTTGGTATGATATACCCTATTCAAATACATACCTAATATTAAAGTGCCCTGTTCCTGGTGAATGCTATGTGGAATTGTTACATATGAAATAGACATTTTATGGCACGCTCTGCATTCCTAGAGCTCTAATGGCCTTACAGGTCAGGTGTGACTGCTTGACTGAATTGTTATTGTTTTACCATAGGGCAGAGGAAAGTGTTTTTCATGGTTCATGGAAAACAGCCATCCTGCAAAGACTGATTAGCTGTTTACAGCCCTGTCTGTTTGTGTTTTAATTACGATAAGAGGCTCTTTTGAAGTTCGTTACAACATACAGCTACACATTCCAGTTATCAGGAGGAGGGAAGAGGGGAGAAAGATTATTGCTCATAAAAAACAAAAATGGCTGAGACCTTAACAAGATGGCTGTCGCGTACAACTTCCATGTCTCTACTGCATCTAGTTGTTACACCTCCTTCCTACACCAATTCCTCAGCCACTTGTTAAGTTCCTTTAGCTCCTGCTGCCTCTCTGGTGTGGCTCCAGGTACAGGCAGTATCTCTGAAAATTCCACTTTGGAGGCCTTTCTCTTGAATTTAGCCTAAAGTGGGTCATTATTATACCCCTCTTTGAGAAGATTCAAGAATGTCTTAGAATGTGTGGCCCCTAGGAAAAGTAGCAACCAATGTGCTTGTCTGGACTGACGTCCCTACGTCACGTCCACGTTTCGTCACTTGACGTCTTCACTTCGCCCCTTGAAGACGTCAAGTGATGAAACACGTTGGGCGTGGCTTAGTGGACGTGACGTTGGAACGTTCCTCCCAGCTGTCGGCTGTGAGATCGCGGAGCAGGAGGTTCGTCCCTTGTGGATGTGTTATTATAGAGGCTGTCATTGCTGGTGTCGGCTAGACACCTTCCTTGTGAGTGTTATACTTTACTAATAAAATTTTACTGGTTTTAAACGTACTGCACCAGCATATCTCTTCTGATTCCTTGAGCTTTGCCCATGTTATTGGACGACCATTTTCTGCTTAGCTGTTTAGCTATGTGCTGATTGGATCACTATTGGCTGCTGTTCCTCTACTGGGATATCCTGCAGCTCATCGCTCCCAGAGCAAAATGCTATCATGCTGGTTTATAATTTAACTACCTGCCGACCGCAGATAGCCGAATGACGGCTGCACTGTGGCCGGCCAGTTCTGGGTGGACGTCATATGACGTCCTCCCAGAACGCGCTCTCCTGCGCGCCCCAGGGGGCGCGCACCCGGCGATCTCCGTGATCGCTGTGTCCTACGGACACAGCTGATCACGTGATGTGGTAAAAGGCCAATCACAGCGGCCTTTTACCACGTGATCAGCGGTGTCCAATGACACGCTGATCAGAGGAAAATGCAAGTGCCGGTTCTCGGCTGCACTTTCCTCACGCTGTCAGATCGTGAGGAAAGTACTGCCGAGAACCGGCAGTTGTCAGAGCGGGGATCGGCACCGATCATCAGGGCACTGATGATCAGTGCCCTGATGATCGGTGCCCAGCAGTGCCACCCGCAAGCTCCGCCCACCTGTGCCCAGCAGTGCGCCCACTAGCTCCGCCCACCTGTGCCCAGCAGATCACCCACCTGTGCCCAGCAGTGCACCCACCTGTGCCCAGCAGTGCACCCACCTGTGCCACTCTGCAGTGCCACCCACCTGTGCCCAGCAGTGCCACCCACCTGTGCCCACCCACCTGTGGCCACCCACCTGTGCCCACCCACCAGTGCCACCCACCAGTGCTGCCAGTCAGTGCCACCAGTCAGTGCCCAGGGGTTGTGCCAGTCAGTGCCGCCAGTCAGTGCCCAGCAGTGATGCCAGTCAGTGCCGTCTATCAGTACCCATCATCAGTGTCACCTATCAGTGCCGCCTATCAGTGCTGCATATTAGTGCCGCCTATCCGTGACACCTCATTAGTGCTGTCTATCAGTGCCGCCTATCCGTGCCACCTCATTAGTACTGCGTATCAGTGCCCTTTAGTGCTGCCTATCAGTGCCGCCTATCAGTGCCTATCAGTGCTGCCTCATCAACGCACATCAGTGAAGGAGAAAAATTACCTGTTTGAAAAATTTTATAATAGAAACAAAAACAATTGAGTACTGTCCGTGATACTTTTTTTATTTGCACTAACATACAATTTTGAGGACAAGCTTTCGGGGTATGTCCCCTTCTTCAAGGTCTAAGCAGTACTATTGTACTATAGTACTCAATTGTTTCTGTCGCAAATGCACTAATACGGCTACAATCACCTCAAGCATAATAGAAACAAAGATGCTTTTTTTTTTTCAAATTTTTTGCACTTTTTGTATTTATAGCGCAAAAAGTAAAGCGCCCAGTGGTGATTAAATACCACCAAAAGAAAGCTCTATTTGTGAGAAAAAAATGATCAAAATTTCATATGGGTACAATGTTGCATGACCGCACAATTGTCAATCAAAGTGCGGCAGCGCTGAAAGCTGAAAATTGGCCTGGTAAATAAGGGGGTATAAGTGCCTGGTAGGCAAGTGGTTAATCAGCATATAGCTCTGGTGAGTGTATTCATTTTCATCTGGTGTCGGATTTGCACATGGGTGTTTGTTTCAAGATTGACATTAAGTTGATATTGGATTATCACTGTTTATGGTGGCTGAATTTATGTTTATATTTATGGATTTTATTTGTTTTTTCTATTATTTATCCTTGCATTTTTTTGTTAATAATTAGCGCACTTTTTATTTATAGACAGAGGTAACTAATTGCCATTCTTTTTATCACAAACGTCCAGGAACTCATAGTACTGTGGAGGCAGCTTGTCTTATGATTGGGTAGTGATTCCTTGACAAGGTTCTCACAATGTTCAACTTACAACAAGTGGATGTAAAATTTATAGTCCGTGCCTTCCAGTTAATGGAGAAATTATGAGTGAAAAACAAAGGAATGCCCAGGATGACAGTAAATTTGAGTGATGAAATCTCACAATGGTCGGCCTCAAACTGGAGTTCAATAGAAAGAGCTTCATGGGTAACAGGTCCTGAATATAAAGGTGAACTATCAACCATCTGGTTTATTTGAATAATATTACTTTGGGCATATTCTGTGTCTATAAAGACATAGCAGAGCACTGGAATTTCATGGCCCTTGGTGAGAAGTTTGATAGGGATGACAAAATGAGATCGTAGAGAACTTTATACTCTTCATAAATCAATCCAGAGACACACTGAGCAATGGAATTTATTTGTTCAGGCACTATTACCTTAGTTGTGGTAAATATTCTTTTTACTTTGTTGGGACAATTAATGCCCCAAGTCTTCAAAATATAGACAACTCTGAAAATCTGCTCTCTTTCTCCCGAGTAGCTTAATAGCATCAACCTGCATATGTTCGGGAGTGTTCAAATTTGGAGAAACTTTTGGATCCTTCTGAATGAACTGTCTAGCAGGAAAATGCCCCCATGACGTCCAAACATTCCCAGTCTCTTCTTCCTCCTTTCTAGAAGTCTCTGACCAATTTGTATACATAATTGGATAAACGCCTTGAGATCATTAAGAGATTCTACTCTGGCAAGCTCATCTTTTACTTATTCAGAGAGCCCTTGGTAGAATTATTTTGTGCTGCAGGGTTCCAGGTGGTATTTGAGATCCAACACCAGAATTCAACAACAGACCGTCTACTCTGCCGCAAACTATGCAACTTTTCTTTAGGAGTAGCGCAGCGGTTGGGATCATAAAACACTTGAATCACTGCAGTCACAAAAGTCTCGAAATGATTCAGAGTTGCACAGTTTTGTCTATACTCACATGAGTATAGATAGCAGTTTGCGTATGAGCAAATGAATAAATACACTTGGCTGAGGGAAAGCTTACGCTGAAATTTTGTCTGCACTACCAACCAATGTTATGCATAAACATGAAAAATAATGTAAAAAAATTAGCAGAGGGAGTCTGTAAAAGAGCCAATAATTCTAGACCTTTGTATGCTTTGTTGGTATAGGCAATACATTTAGATGTTATGGACACTATAGCATACAGAGACTAAGCATATCCTGTTATCAGGAAAACACAGCTAGTGGATCAGAATTAACTTTCATCCTTCTGTGAGGATGCAAACCTTCTATATGACGAGCTTTTGTTCGATGTTGCAAGCCCTCTATGTAAAGTGGCTGTTGGAGAGGATGGACATCTCAGGGTCCCTGATGGGGAGCTGCAGGTTCCACTGGCTGAGCGACTGTGAGGGGTGCCCTTCATCATTATACGTTCCAAGCAGGATTTATGTTCATCAACAGTGCACACCAAATAGGAGGAGCTGAAATGGACAAACTGCAATTTAATGAGTCTGTCACGGTGTGAGGTCAGGTTCAGAGACCAATTGCTATAGCAGTTGTAAGGCTTACCTGAAACCAGCAGGATTGGTCCAACAGTGGGTCACCCTGGGAATGACGCAGGCTCACCTGAGGTGCGGGGTCTAAGTATCCACCGGTCTTCACCAGAGCTCCTAATGGTGGAGATGGATTTGGCTGCGTGTGAATACCAGGTCGCAGTCTCAGGATCACCCCACCAGCGAAAGGGCAAGCTGGAAACCAAGAGCGGATCAAACAGTTTAGGGATAAGACTAAAGCGGAGTCTGTCACAAGCCAAAAGTCGGTCAAACGATATAGATGGCAGCAGTAAGGATGAGCGGGATATTGGCTGGAAGGCACAATAATCTGGCAAGGACGAAGTGCATGGACATGGCTTTTATAGAAAGTTCATGGGAGGAGCAAGGAGTTCAAGGTTCAAGAGAAAACAAGGCACAAGGCAGGATTATCCAATAGATCAGGCAGAGCATTTGTCCAGCATCCCAGGTAGTTCAGCGTGAAGAGTTACTGCCTGACACAGCAGAAGTCCCAGGTTCAAGTCCAGGCCCTGACAGTACTCCCATCCTCCCAGGACGTCCTCTGGACGTCTTAGGGCCAGGTTTGTGAGAAAACCTCTGGTGGAATTCTCTTGTTAATCTAGAGGCGTGAATATTCTCCTCAGGCTCCCAAGAATTTTCTTCTGGCCCATACCTTTTGAACCAGATATTGTAATTTATTCCTAAAGATCCTGGAATCAAGAATTTTCTCCACCACAAATTCTTCTTCACCCTCAACAGGTGGACAGGTGGAAAAATTCTTCCAGGGAAAGGATTCTCCTGAAACGGTTTGAGTAGTGATATGTGAAAAACAGGGTGAATCCTCACACTGTCCGGAAGCTTTAATCGAAAGTGACTGGGTTGATTTGGGCAGAAATCTGAAAAAGGACCCACAAACTTTTGACCCAAGTTAGCAGATGGCACATGCACCTTCAAATTCTTTGTTGATAACCAAACTTTGTCACCTACATGAAACGTAGGAAATGCTCTCCAATGTCTGTCAGCAGCCTTTTTGTAATATTCCTGAGCTTCCCTCAAAGTCTCAATCAATGTCTCCTTAATGTCCTGCAATGTAGTTAGTTTGTTGGTAACAGCAGGAGTTGGAGTTGTGATAGGGAGATCGGGAATAAAAACTGGATGATAACCGGTGTTTAAGTAAAAGGGACTTTGAGAAGTGGAACTATACTTAGAATTGTTGTATGCAAACTCTGCAGTGGGAAGACAGTCCACCCAGTCATCCTGAAGATAAGTGACAAACCATCGAAGATACTGTTCCATGGTTTGATTAGTTCTCTCAGTCTGACCATTAGACTGGGGATGAAAAGCAGAGGACAGATTGATTGTAACACCTAAGGCTGAGCAAAAGCTTTTCCAGAATTTTGAAGTAAACTGCACACACTCTGTCAGACACCACATCATCAGGGATTCCATGCAGTTTAAAGACTTCTCGAACCATCAGTTCAGCAGTCTGTTCAGCAGTGGGCACCCCCTTAACTGGAACAAAATGGGCCATTTTTTTTGAGACGATCAACAACTACCAAAATGGTGGTCATTCCTTTTGAGGGAGGTAAATCCACCACAAAATCCATAGAAATAGACCCACATGGTCTTGATGGAACAGGGAGTGGCTGAAGCAGGCCCAAAAGGAGAGGCTGGGGGAATTTTATTGCGTGCACAGGTCAAGCATGAGGCCACATAGCGTTTGACATCTTTCTTGTACCCCGGCCACCAAAAGGAACGTGATAACAGTTCTTCGATCTTAGAAACTCCAAAATGTCCAGCAAGTTTGGAATCATGAACCAATTAAGAGCTTCCACCCGAATAGATTCAGGTACATAAAGATGATGTCCTTGAATCCATAAGCCATTATTATAAGTCAGGTTAATGTCTTTAGGTGGATGATTGAGAAGTGGGTCATTCTCATACCCCTCTTTAAGAAGATTCAAGAATGCATTAGGACTTGTTGCCCCTAGAAAGTTCTTTTGAGGCAGGATTGTGCATTCAGAGTTGTTCTCCTGCAGAGGCCCAGACGACATCCATGATAAGGCATCATCATTACCGTTTCTTGACCCAGATCGATATGGGATAATAAAATTGAACCTGGAAAAAGATCAGTGACCATCTCTTGGCAGAACGGATGAATTCTAGATTTTTATGATCCCTGAAGACAGTCACAGGATGCTTAGCCCCTTCCAGCAGATGCCTCCATTCAGAAAAAGCTTCCTTAATTGCCAGCAACTCCTTATTCCCAATGTCATAATTCTTTTCAGCTGAAGACAAACGTGAAAAATATGCACAGGGATGAAGCTGCATTTTTTCTCCTCGTCGCTGAGAAATGATAGCTCCCATGGCAGAGTCTGAAGCATCCACTTCCACAATAAAAGGTAGCTCAGGATCTGGATGTACCAATATTGGTGCAGAAGTGAAAAGAGTCTTTAGCTTACTAAAAGCAGTTTGTGCCTCAGTTGACCATGCAAAGGGCACTCCTTTCTTTGTCAGCCGTGTAACTGGTGTTATTACTTTAGAAAAGTTTCTTAT